TCATAACCTACAGTTCAGAAACCTTGCACAAAATTTCCAATTTCAAAACTGTACATGTGCCGTTCTTTTGTATTTGGATAGACGATTTCCTCTCTGATAAAAATAGCCGTGGAAAAATACTCTCCATCTTCGTCTTAAAAAAAATGCTTACAAGACAAAGCCCCTGATTACCTGTCCTTTGTCTAACAGGCATTTCCAACATGACATTTTAAAGTATGGCTCGTGCTTTATTTAACAAAGTTTGCTCATTTTGAATCTCTAGCGTGACAGCCCATACCCTGTGCCCTTCTTTACTGGAAGTGAAAGCTACACCAGCCAGGCCTGCCACAACCCCCCCACCCAACAAAGAACCAGACAAAACCCAAGCACTGGGAGCTGACAAAGGCAATCTGGATAACTGAAAAGATTCTAAGAGTATTTAATCACCATTAATTATTTTTATTTTCTAAAATTTTTCAGCTTGGGGCTTTTATACATATACATATTGCATCCTGATCCCTCTGCACCTCTCTCCCCTCTCGCAATCACTGTTAATTCTTTCCTCACCCTCTCTTTCCTTCCTGCACTTCCAAATGGCAAAAACAAATACTGTTGAACTTCCTGGTTGTAGCTTCCTTAAAACTTCTGTGGAAAGAATATGTTGCCTTTCTGCATGTGTGTATGTGTGTGTGTGTGTGTGTGTGTGTGTGTGTGTGTGTAAGTAGAAAAACTGTGAATGCTTTTAGAAGATAATTAAGGTCAAATAAAAAAGAATCAGAAAGTAGAGTCAGAATATTACTCGCTTACTCAGAATTTACTTTCTGCTTCTTCCTGGGAACCTGCGAAAATGTTGACTACAGTAATGTGATGATTTTCACCTCTTTTCCTCTCAGGCACCAAATGGTCTCCCAGCTGTGAGCAGTTTTGTGTCCGCATCCAGCATGGCTCCTTACCCTGCCCCAGCCCAAGTGTCGCCTTACATGACCTACAGCGCTGCTCCTTCTGGTTATGTAGCTGGACATGGGTGGCAACACGCCGGCGGCACCCCACTGTCCCCCCACAACTGTGACATTCCTGCGTCGCTGGCGTTCAAGGGAATGCAGGCAGCAAGAGAAGGTAGTCATTCTGTCACTGCTTCTGCACTCTGATGGGAAATTCCATCTCCAGCAGCTACACTCGGGGATCCCCCTCTCAGCACAGCCTCCCCCTGCTCCCGGGTTTCACATCCCATCCCTGCTGCCCCCCAACCCCCCTGCCTCGAGAGCTGGCTTGATGGATTCACATCCTTTGTGCTGATGACACTTAAGTATTTCTTGCCATAACTTCTTTCTTGCAGAAAACCTGACATGACTTTAGGATTTAAAAACAAAAACAACGTTACGGATTGAATGAAACGTTTGTGTTGCCCACACACTGTTTTAAGGTAGTGAAGAAACCTATACCCCTCAAAGGGCTTAAGAAACTTTTAAAACTAGTCTTTGGTAAAACCACACATGTATATTTATTCTAAAGCAACCTGAACTTTTGAAACGTGCAATGGTTGAGATTTTGCAAAATCAATAAAGGAAAACACATGTAGAAAAAAGTTATGTTACACCCTCTAATCAAACAAGGTGACCACGGAAGCCTTAATTCATCATTAGGAAACCAATCAATAATTGACTTATTTGAGTGATTCTTTATCTATTTTTAAGCGATGACCTATTTTGTTTAAAAATATGTGTAGAATTCAAAGCAATGTGTCTATTTAGCTCCTCCCGGTGTTTTGACTTGGCTCCAGATGCAATAATGTTTATATTTTCTATTAGTTTGTAAATATGGACTCTAGATGGTGCATTTGTGTCTTCATTCCATGGGGTATCCCCCACCTTTCCTTCAACTTTTCTCCCTGCCCCCAGGTGACTTTCTGGCAACATCTTTGTCTCTGTTTGGTGGTGGGCTACTTGGGCTCCGGGACCTGGACTTGCCCCCAAATTTTGTGTGTACAGTGAAGGCTTCAGCATCTCATGAAGGAAACTTTCTTCCTGCAGCAGAGGACTCAAATAACAGATAAAGCAAGCCAGTCACGTATTTTATTCCCTAATCAAACAACACACATGCCAAGCATATAAAGACAAGAGGGTGGAAAATATCTGAACAAGAAGGCTCTAAAGGAAGTCACTTAGAGACAAGTTTAATGTGAAATGTTTTGCAAAGACACTTAAAATGAACTTTCTGTTAAGAAAACCACTGTGAAACTAAATTGTACTGTTATTGTTGGCTTACCTGTGTGTTCGGCAGTCTCAGCCCAAAATTATGTTGTAACTTAAACAAAATGGAAAATTCTGCTCTAATGAATGTAACAATGGCTTGCTGTGAAGTTTACATTGTTGTACAGAAGCATGTTTCACCTATAGGTAAACTGGTGGTGGTATTAGAAATACAAATAATATTTAATTTTAACAAATTCCCTTTATTCATTTCTAGACAGGACACAGATTGACAAATCTCTTAGACCAACTTATTTTTCACTTTAATGTTAATAATAGAGCTGTGGAATATATGTGTGTACGAGCATGTGATTATGTGTTGTATGTTAAAACATTTGACTTTCTCGGACAAAATTCTAGTTTTTATCCTTTCTTTTTAGGAAGTTCTCCCTGCTTGACAATATAGGCTTAAAACAGTTTTAGAACATTGGTACAATTCATCTATTGGAAAATTAATATATTGTAGGGTTTTTTTTTTTTTTGGTATTCTGTGCAATAACTAAAGGGGCACCTCACTCAAGGTGGGTGTGAAAGACGCATTTGTTGGGCGATTTTGACTTCATATCTGTGCCGTGCACAACTACATGGCAATCCAGTTCTGCCACATAGGTTTCATGGCTTCATTTAAAACTCAGACAGCTAGGTCAGCTAGTTTTTCAAATTGCCAGGACATAAACAGTAAGCAGATTTCTGACACATACATCATGTTGGAAAAACTGCTTTTTGCAAAAGCAGATATTTAATAGAGAGGTTTGAACTGCACTTATTTCTAAAGCAATTGAGCTTCAGTGCTACAAATAGAGGATTATAACTCCAGGAGAAGAACAAGCAGAAGGAGCAGTTGAACTCTCAGGGCCACAGTCTTCCTTTCATCTTATAAAACTCCTATTAACATCTGGAGGCCCTAGTCTGGTGCAAAAATAGACTATAAACTGAATGGAACAAAGATCCAATCCAATATTTTGGTGGAGACTTTAAAACCATACTATACAGTGACTCGCCTGGCATCCAGAAAAACTAACCTAAGGTACAGAATTATTCTTTATCAAGTATTTTCAAGTGGCTCTGAGGGGGGTCTTTAAAAAATATTAGCTGTTTATATGGAAACACAATTTAAATGTTATTTTCTTTTTCTAAATTAAGAAATTTTTGTTATCATTATTTATAAATTTTTCTGGTTCTCATATTTTTAAAAAACTTCTAATATTAATGATATCAAATTTTTTTCCTTTCATTTCTCTTCCCAGGCCTTATTTTAACAATTAATTAACACAAAGTATTTTTTAAAGGACAACAGAGAGCCCAAATACAGTTTGCTATTCAAAGCAAATTATGACTTGAAGCCAATTTTAAAAATATGAGAAGGAAGATGGAATGGGATATGGAGTTGGGACTGTTTGATTTTTAAACATTATTGTTATTGGTTAGTGTTGACACATTCCCTCTGTTTCTTAGAGGGTGATGTGTTGTTTCTGAATTGGCAAATGCATGCTTCAGAAAGCTTTTTCTATCTGCTCCACAAGGAGAGGTGAAAGGTGGAGTTTCACGGCCCCTGTGCACGCAATGCTCTCATAGGACACGGAGTATCATCTGCAAGGACAGAAGGCGGTTGTGCAACACAGACACATTCTTATTTCTATTGATTTTCTGCTTTTAGTGATCCACTTATTAAATACGGGGCTGAAATATAAATTAAAAAAACACGCCGGAAAGGATGTACAGCAGAAGGCTGTGTATGTATATACAGTATGTTAAAAAGCCTTTTATTTTTATACTTCAAATGCTCTAAATTAATAAAAACTAATAATTACTATGTAATCTTTACTTTTTATTTTCAAAATACCTTAGTCAAATAGCCTCACAGTAAAAATATCCCAGAATAATGGTCAAGAACATGTGTTCTCTAGAGCATGCAGATATTTTTGTAGACTTTAGCTACTGAGGTAGCATCATTGGAGGAGGTAGACACACAATTGACTTTGGGTTATATCAAGACTAAACAGCTCACTTTTAGAGTGCATGTTAGTACAGGAATCCTTGGAAATGCTAAGAATGTTCTTCTATTTTGAAACATTTTTATCATACACATTTTAATACTATAGACAGTATATTTCACACCTGAACTGTCACTTAAAACCAGTAATGGGAATAGAATTGTACATTCTTCTTAAGAACTACATGAGTAAAGTATTTATATAAAGGTGTTTGGATACAAATACAGGGAGCACAAATGAGCTCAAGGAACACTTTGAATTTTTGAGTTAAAGTGAAAATATCTCAGCAATAAAACCTGTCTTCAAAGTGAACTATGTAAAGGAAAATGTTTAATATAATCTCTTGCAGTCTACCTGTAATCAAAGACTTCAGATAGCATGATTTAAAAGTACCTTTTTAACCATGTGAAATACGAAGTAGACTTAAGAAAATAGAGCTGAGATATATATTATTACTAAAAAACCCAACAGATTTACATTTTAGCATAGCACTCATAAAATTAAGCATTCTTAAAAGGCCATTTTAGTGCACTTTAAAGACATTTTTCTGCTCTTAAAATATTATGAGAAAAAACAATTCCTTATAAAATGTTTAAATTTTAGTACATTTTTTTTTGTCCAGTCTTTGTGCAAATAATCTTTTCTTTTTTCTTTTTTTTTTTTTTTGTACAGGGAATAGAACTCAAGACCTTGCGCTTGCCAGGCAGGTGCTGTGCCACTGAGCTATATCCCCAGCCCTTGCAAATAATTCTTAAGGAATTAACCACAGGATAATGTATTCTCAAGAATTTTAAGCATCTGTAGGTCTTTTATTTAAAAAATTATCACTACAATGAATTTGTGTTGTGAGGCAGTGTAAAACAGAGCTTACACTGCTTTTTTATTGATTAATTTTTATTGCTTTAGTTCAAGTTGGTACATGTACAAAACACATCTTAATTCCTTTTTCCATCTCTTCTCCCTTCCATCCGTTCCCCCTCTACCCATCTCTTGATCCCTTTCCTTTTTGTAGATGTTTGCAGTTCATAATGTTTACATTCCATGGGTGGAGTTGATACACTATCTTAATATTTTACTTAAATACCTCATTGCTTCCTATTATTTTTCACAAATTTTATATTGCTCTTATGAAATCTGATTTCTACGATATTTTAATATTCAATTTATATATGTTATTGGTTCATAGTTCCTTTATCATCTATCATTTATCATCTCTGTATTTCTCTATCATTTATATATCTCAAACTACCATTTCAGATTGTCTAAAGATAAAATCTGAAGTAGGAAGCTGTTCTTGACCAAGCTCTTTTCCCCTCCCTAACTGTATGCCTAGCTTAGCTAATCAATAGTGTCTCCTCTTCATGGTGTTACAGAGCAAATATCCATTATCTCCAGGGAAAACATTCCTTCAGTGATCACCAGTTCTCCTGCAGCCATGAATAGGTGTATTCATAAACCAGCAGCATCACTGCACCTCCTGGAAAAGAAAAGAGCTTTTTAAAACTCACAAATTCTGTGAAATAGCCTTGTCTTCTCCCATTGTTTCTAAATCCCATGGAGTCTCAGGCAGCTCATCCAGCAGGGGCTGTTCTGGAGCACTGATACATTGCCATGAAACCATTGTGGAAAATTCTCAGGGTAAAATCAAGACCATCTTGAGTCTTAAGTACATTTTTCCCCATAAATTTCTCAACTTTTATCATTTTTCACTGTGTTCTTTTTCAAGCATATTTAATTTTAAAAGTAAATAAATATAGACATATTTAGTCATGTAAGGGAATGTGGCTCTCTGTGAACAGAAGCCTTCAGATTATTCATACATCGGCAAAGAGATTTCTCTTTTTCAGTGCATAATTAGTATTATCTTAGCAGCATTAAGGAAGAAAGTCTCTAAGATGGTGCTTGCTGGATGAGTCTTTTTTCTTAGGCTTCCAACGTGGATTGCAATGTGAAAAATAGCTTCTGAATGTTTTTAAAAGTCCATGTTGCAAAACTCAACAAAAGGAGGTTGGAAGGTAACCATCATTCCATAGATATGCCTCAGATCCTTAGATGTATACAGATTTGAACTTGAAATTCTGGTAGGGGAGTTGAGTGGCATAAAATCACCATTTGTCTTGGAAAAGTTTTGTAAATGGCTGCAAAGCTGTTTGCCCTGTCGTACAAAAGCAGAATCTGACTCAAGAAAACAGGTGCCAAGGCTCTGAATACCTGGACTCTGAGAGAAGTATTTGTATGTGGATCATTTTGTGTTTTCTCTGGTGCAATAAATAACACATGTTCTGTACCTTAGGATATTGTTTAAACTGTGTGAAAAGTATTAGAAAATCAAAATGTGGACAAATATCCAGAGCAGAACTCAGTGAAGACTGGGTTGTCTGAACAGAAGACTGACTTCTGATGGAAAGAAATAGAACTTCATTTGGATCTTATTTTGTATACACTCCATATGATTTTAAAAAAAGATAGATTGCACGTGTTTGTGTAACCATACAGCAGAAATAATTATTTGCCTGCAATTTTTATTTTTAACCCATTAAGATATTCTGTTAAGCCCTCTCAGCCCTCTTAGAACTCACAAACAGAAATATGCACTACACAAGGTGCTAATATGTATATGATGGTTGTATTTGCTCTTTTTTTGTTTTTGTTTTTTGTTGTTTGTCTTTTTTCTGGTACCGGCAATCGAACTCATGACCTCGTGCTTGCCAGGCAGGCTCTGTGCTGCTGAACTAAATCCCCAGCCCCTGTTGTATTTGCTCTTAACTGTCCACAATGTCATACAAAAATATGAAGAATTGGGTTGGTTTTCTGTCTACTGAGATTTGGAGTTTAAACTATAGACTTTTGTGGAAGATTACTGATGTTTAGCCACATAAAGCTGCTAAAGCTGTTATAAAAATGATATTGGCTCCTTCTCCAAAATTACAAATGAAAATTACAGGTTCATCTTACTTTTCCTCTCTCTCTCTCTCTCTCTCTCTCTCTCTCTCTCTCTCTCTCTCTCTCTGTCTCTCTCTCTCGGTCTCTGTCTCTCTGTCTCTCTCTGTCTCTCTGTCTCTCTCTGTCTCTCTGTCTCTCTGTCTCAATTTTGGTTGGCCTTAACTCAAAACTCTTACCTTCTCGCTACCTTCTTCCTTTGAAGTTGCTGGGGTGTGCACATTCAAAATTAAGCAGAGGCCTGGTCTTCAAATGAGGTTATCAGTTATTCCAAATTTTGTTTAGGCTGGACAGTAAGTTCACAGTGCTTTTCTTTGGGTTTATCACCACAGCAACTCAGAACCCCTCATGAAAAAATATTTAAAAGCTCAACCAAACACTTGCAAGCCTCTAACAAAACTTGGGGTCAGATTATTCAAGAGCTCTAGATTAAGGCTTCAGTCAGTTACCATTTTAACTAAACTCTTTCTTGTCACCATCCTTTTTAGGCCCATGCCCTTCTGAGAAAGTTGGTTTCAGGCCAGTCCCATGATTTTCTCCAATATTAGCTCTACTGGCAAGTTTTTACTGTGTGGTGAAAGAAAAACGTCACAAGAAGTAATTGCAAAGATGTACAAAATCCCCAATGTTCTTTATTATTAGTTTAGCTTTTCCATATAAGCCAGTGACTAACAGAAGGTAGATCTGAATCTGAAATGTGCAGCAAAATCTATGCTTAAATATCTGCACATGTGGGGGTAGATGTACTATGAAAGTTTCTTTCTAATACATACTCTACTCACTAGCTTCAATCTACAAACTGTCATTCTTTATCTCAGGTTGACAGAAATGACAGTTCATTAGGTTAAGATCTAAGGTAAATGTACGTATGTGCAAATGCAGCAAGGAGGAGAATGTTCATGTAAAAAGAGAGGAATGGCAGAAGGTTAGTGGAAGCAAAACATTTCCAGAGAGGATCATCAGGGTGTCTAAATAGGGGTGCATGCTCCAGATCTTACAAAAATGTATGGTCTAGAGCATTACTTTTGTACTTATTCACAAGGCTGTTTGTAATCCAAGACTATTTGCCCCAGAGATTGAGTCTGCAGCAGTTATTTTCTTATCTATTTACATAGAGGCAGCTGGTTCTCCCTGTTGGAATGGCAGCCAGGTGTTCTGTTTTATTTTCTTTTGTGGCGTGGTGCCCTCAGGTAAGGCTGAGCCAGGAGCCTCCGCTGTCCAACTGTCAGAGGCCAGGAAAGAGGACTCTGCTGCGGCATCACCAGACCCCAGAGGTGACTGTGAATAGTGACTGTAGCAGCTCCAGGAGGCAAGTTGCCTTCCTTCCTCCTTCTCTTTGTTTGAAACGAATTTCAGGTAGGGTTGAGACTCAACTAGAGGCACAAGGAAAGGTTTTACCAGGAAGGTCCTTCACTCAGGAAATATCCATGACTTCATCCAGAAGCCCCTCCTCATACTTGGGTGCTCAAACTCCAACTGGCTGTGGGTTCTTTCCTTTTCACTTAAGCTGGGTTTTGCTTTCCACCAGCCATGCAAGGTCATAAAAAGTTATTTATAAACAAAGGTAGAACGTTTCTAATGGGTGCCTTCAGTATCCTGACTATTCATAGACAACTTTAGATGCTGAAAGTTTCTGTCTCCCTAAGTGTGGTAAACTTTTATTGCTTTGCTGATAGATACAAATAACGAAAGATGAGACACTGGAAGGCAGAATAAATAGTAAAAGTATCATTACCTGGTCCGAGTCTCATAATCTTGGGAATCAGGCCTTTGTATAAAGCAAAAATCCTGTAATCAGAAGGAAAGAGCAACATTCTTATTCTGAAAATAAAGGAACTAGACCTTGATTTTATTGAGATGCTACCTCAGCACTTGAAAAAAAACTCCTTGAAATTATACCCATTCAAAACTGACAGCATCTGGCTTTGTAGTCTCTGCAGCAAATTAGGTGAGGGGAAAGAGTTAATCAATTCTTTATTACCCAGGCTATGCTGGTCTTGTCCGACCAATCAGTAACATGACTTTCATCAGCGAGATGGTTTTTGCTTTCAAGACAGGTCTTGCTTTCAAGATAGCTGTGTATATGGACAAAACGGCTTTTGTAATTGAATTTAAAAGACCACAAACTCAGTCTTCACATTAGGAAATATGATGCAGTTTAGATCAAAATAATAAAGTATCTCTTGTTTACTTGAGAATAAGATTGGTCAGGAGGAATAAAGAGAAAGTAAGTCTTAAAAAATAAGAAAAAGACATATTCTGAAAAACTTTAGCTTTATGCAATTCTCATATTTAATTCTCCCAGAAGAATATAATTAGGTAGCATTCTGATTAGGTTTATAGCCAGAAAGCTACTATTATCCACCCATATACTAGTAGGACTTACAATACACAATAGCATATTATGTAAACTGACAAGTAAAAAGTTCATCTTAGCATTCTAAGGCAAACATGTGGTATAGTGCATGATCGTGCCTGATAGCACGATCATGCTCATATATGAACATTTTGCCAACATTTCATTATTGTTTCTCCTTGCAAAATTTGTTATATATTCCGGGAGCTCCTTAGACACACCCAACTTAGGAGGGCTTACTGGTTCTCATCAAACTAGAAGTACAATATGGTCTTAACACTGTTTGAGCCTCCTACATTTATTAAAGTAAGAATGTGTTACCCTTCTTCCTGGTAGACTGTTGCCATTGTTTTAAAACAGGTTCTGTACTTGATCTCTCCAGGAACTGGCTGAGGCCCTTGAATCCGACTTTTGGCAACATCAAAAGGGATATTAATGACTGAGGCTATTGTCCCCGAGAGAAGACCAATCCCAAATTTTCTCAAGAACTCTAAGGTTGGATCCTAAAAGAAAAGAATAAAATAACAGAAAAGGAAGTGGAAGCCCCTAAATTGGTTAAACACTCTAAAGCAATATGTATTTAAGCAGAGCTCTGCACTCCTCGGCACCCTCCTGTTATTCCAGTGGAACACATTAGGATTTCCTAGGCTGGAACTTGTTTTCTTGACAATCCCATTGGCTATGTTTTTACACATGGTCTAAATTGCTGAAGTACACATTTCCTCACACAGGATTTATAAACACAGTTCATAAAGAAAGACTGGTATGGCATATGGGGATGATTTGTATAATTGGGCTTCACAATGTACTTAGTATTACTGTATCAAAACAGGAGAAATCCAAGCACACTATTAGCTAATTGGCCAGAATATTTTACAAATGACAGCAACTTCCACCATGAAGCCTACTAAAATGCTCATTTGTGTGTGGACCCCCAAATGTTAAATTAAATCAAGGCTACTCTCGGTCTGCTGCTATTCCCCTCCAGGTTTTTTGCATTTATTTTCACGTGTAGCTGATCCACTGTACTGAGAAGTGCTAGCTTCCTGTTATTAACAAACCAACTTGGGGCGGCTGCAAAACAGCCTGTGACATTCTGTGCATTATAAACAGTAGTAAGTTACTGGACTAATTGGCTGAAGAATTTGCAACTCATTGTTTCTGAATCTTATTCTTCCTTCATGGCAAAAGCAGAGAGAGGGAGAGAGAGAGATAGAGAGAGATTGAGAGAGAGAGACAGAGAGGGAGAGGAATAGAGGGAGAGGGAGAGAGGGAGAGAGGGAGAGGGAGAGAGAGAGTTGCTCTTTCTATTTGAATTTAGGCCCTTCACATTGGTCTGCTTTGATTTTCCACCCCTCCCTGCTCTGCTTTCTGACATCAAAGTATTTAATTAGGTCTTCTGTGGGAGTCACTTTCCTTCAGACTATTTTTGTGCCCAGTGAGCTCACATTATGCTTTGTTAAAATGAATTTTCTGGGAAGTTCTTATGTTTGCAGCCTCAGTTCTTGCCCTAAAGAGAAATCATATCACATATTATGTGCCACTGACTCTGACCCCCACCTCATCCTTCCCCTGCCCTCTCTTTTGGTCAGTGTTTCAGGGGCATTGTCACAGAGAAACAAATTAAAGAGAGGGGTAAGCATACTCTGTTAAATATAAATCAACCAACCAACCAACCAATAAATAAATAAATGAAATTCAGGTCTGAGCACTGCATGTTTCTAGTTTCTATGAAATAGGAAATCTTCTGAAAGCTCTGAAATTTTCAACTGAACCCAGAGCCAGTTACCATCACAAGAACTCCTATGAGGCTAAATATAAAAAGCAAGGGATTCAGTAATAATTCTTGGATCGGGGCCATACAGGTGCTGGGGAGGTTTAAAGGGATTTAAAAACCAACAGGGTGTTTCTACAGGAAAAACAATGCAGTGATTGCAGTATGAGTGAGGTGTGTTTAAATAATTCCCCCTCCCCCATTTTTTTTCTTTTACAAGGAGAGAAAAATGCCTTTATGTGGCCCTTTCCCATTATGGTACAGAAGCACAACCCAAGATTTGGAGAACAGTGAATTCAACACTAGCTCAAGTTGTCTGATCTTGGATGAGTCACTGAATCTTGCAGAACACAGTGAAGGAAGGGAAGTTTTAACACCTACCTTACCTATCACTATCATTTTTCTGAGGGATAAAAGTGCCGATAGAAGTAAATGTGCCATGAGTTTTGTACAAGCCTGGCAGAAAATGTATAGTATTACCATGTAGCCTGTTTTCAAAAGGTGCAAATCATCCTATAAAATGATTCTGTCACGGTATTTCTGTAACACAGTCAAGTTCTTTTTCTTTTTCTATTAAGGACAAGTGCAAGAATGATGTTTTCTTTTTTTTTTTGGTTTTTCTCCGGTACCGGGAACCGAACTCACGACCTTGCGCTTGCCAGGCAGGCGCTTTTGCCGCTGAGCTAAATCCCCAGCCCCAAGAATGATGATTTATATGCACATTGTTTCCCTGAGTTCAAGGGCCCTCATCAAACATTTATCCTCTCCCAGTTCCTGATATATTTGCTAAGGATCGAGATTGAAAATGGAGGATACACCAAGACACCTAGGGCGGTCCCTGTGCCGGAGACACTGTTGATAACCAAAACCTAAGTTCTCCCAGCCAGCAAAGTTTCATGAGCACAAGCAGGTGTCAAAACTGAGTTTTCCAGTTCCTTTCTAGCACAACGGTAAGATCCCACAGTATTTCCCAGATCCAGCTGTGCATTAGAATCACCTGACAGCTTTACAAATAAAGAGGTCTGGGCCCCACCTCAGCCCTATCTCAGATTCCCAGACCAGAATCTCTTGGAAAGGTGTCTGAAAGTGATTTTAAAAGCTGCCTGGCTGAGGACCCATTTCTGGGAACTAGTGATTTTTGTGTTCTACACAGCCAGACAGAGGGCCAGCTGCTACCTCCATGAGCATTGTAGGTAGGAAAAAGTTTTCATGAGATGACCACAGGGTATTCCTTACCATGTGGCTTCTGAGCCCATGGTCAACCTCTTCTCCAACTCCACAGTTTTGTTTTGTTTTGTTTTGTTTTGTTGCCAGCATCTCAAGCTGGGACTAGGTGAGCCAAGGAGAGCCTCCTCAGCCTCTCTGTTTCTCCAGTACATCTCACCAGCATCTGTAAGGGAGTCACTTGATCATCTCTTCCTGACTACCTCACTTCTCTGGCTTTGGTTCAAGTTCCCGTTACCTTCACCAGACCTTGCTTCCTTCCTGCCCTCTGGAGCCTACCATCACAAGGGCACTCACACTCTCTTTTCATAAAACACTTTGCTTCTGACATCTTCCTACCAAAAGATCTTCCACACTGTCCTGCCGCACGGTGAGTAAAGACAAAGCACTCCCCTTTGCCTGTGATTTTTTCTCATGATAAGCTTCCAATCTATCTTTTGGCCTCACATGCTACACTCCTACCTTCAATCCACACTGTAGTCACAGTGATTAATTCGTAATTACTCAATATTCCAAGCACTTTCCCAACTCCTGGCTTTTCTTCAAACTGTTCCCCAAGCTTTGGGGGAAGTGCTGAAGCCAAGGCACCACAGGTGAGGAAAACCAAGTTGAAGAGGTCTGGCATGGCTCAGGAGCACAGCGGAGGCTGGAATGTAGCCTCCACCCAGACCCTCATTAATTCCGCAGTTCCCTTTGGAAGCCCTGGGATAGCAACTCTGCTGCTTTTAGTCTTATCACCCTATCTCCTCGGCTCATAACCCTGTACTTCCAGCCTTCCTGCTTGACCTCTAACCTTCCCCTCCCACAACCACCTCACTCTAGCTTGGCAACACCCCTTTCCCTGCTCAGAGAGGTAGCAATTTTAATAACATCAAATATTTATGGTTTTTGTGACAGATATTGTCAAGTGTAAATGTCTACACATTCTCTAAGTTATTCTTTACAACTTTGAGGCAAGAATTATCATTACTCCTATTTTATAAATGAGTTAACCAATAGATCAAGTGTAAGAAGATAATTTTTGTTGAGACTTTGCCTCAAGGCTTACATATTATTTTTCCTGGTACTTCTAGGTGCCAGTGGGTGGGCTTATGGGGGAGGCATCCTAGAACCTCCTAAAAGTGTAAGCAATGCTTCTGTGTATATGGGATTTTCTGTGGAGGGTGGCTATAGATTTTCTTGGGTTTATAAAACCTTAAAAATGATAAATGTAATCATTACATACTGCAAACATGTACTAATAACAATAAACAAAAAAGCTTAAGAATAATAAGAGCACTTTATCTACTAATAAGTTTACAAGCTATGAAAAAGGCAGTGTAGGTCTTAAAACACTGGGGCTAAAACTAGGGAGCCCTAATTTTCACATAGTTTCTAGGCAATTCACCTTAGGGAAAAAATTCCCACACACATTATTGCTATGGAGTCTCAATATGCACAAACCAATGGTCTGTGGATTCAGTAGTTCCCAAAGTGTGATTCTTGTCCGCCATCATCAGCTCTGTTTCTTATTAGGAATAAAAATTGGGGTTCCACCACAGACCTACTGAATCTGGGGAGGGAGCTCAGTAATATGTTTAAGTAAGGTCTTTAAGTTTTCTGATGTGTGCCAAAATCTGAGAATCATTGCTTAACCATTGCTTATGATTCATCCTCTTTAGATGCCTGGACCAGAAAACTGATGTTCTAAAATACCGTATTTGTTTTTATGGATGTATGTATGTATGTATGTACCATATGTATGTACGTATATGTGTGTGTAAGTGTATATGTATGCTTGGGATCAAATTCAAGGCCTCATGCATGCTAAGTAAGTGCTCTACCACTGAGTTACATCCCCAGCTCTGGTAGAACTCATCTTAGCCATTGGCTCTACAAGGCTTTGAATATGCTGAGAAACACTGTAAAGCTTTTGTTAATGGAAATAGACTTTTGCCTCGTTAAGGCTATAGAAGTGAAGGCACTGCTGTTACCTCTTCAGCCTCTTCTTTTAGCCTCTCAGTCCTAAAACAAGAATGTATAGCTGTTGGGTTACTTGGTCTAAGTGATATCATATAGTAGACAGGCTGTGATATTTGTATTATCTTCCATAACTGTCTGTATTGGGCACTTTTCCTTTGCTGAAATGAAATACCCTAACCTACAACTTAGAGAGAAGTTTATTTGGCTCACAGTTCCCCATAGGTGCAGTCCATGGTTGGCTGGCTACCAACCAAGGCAGAAATGGCATGGTGGAAGGGCAGAAGGAAGAAAGCTACTGAACCAATGGTTTCCAGGAAGCAGAAAGAGAAGAGAAGCTGGACACAAGAATATGTATTTCCAGGTCATGCCCCCAGTAATCCACATCTTACTACCACTACCACTTTCCTTCCCAAAGCTCCACTTTTGAACAGATTAAACTTCTGGAAGATATTTTAGATTTAAGCCATAATACTATCTTTCTGATAAATAATGCTATTATTGATGACATTTATTGCCAGAAACAATAGCATATACAAAATATAA